GGTGGGGGGGCTACCTTCCTCCCAGTAGCTGTCAAATCCAATCTACTTCCTTGCCTCTTCCAGGAAGTAGAGGTCTCCTACAGGCCTTCCTTCACGGCTCCCTCCTCTGCCTTCATCCTCATATGTCCTCTCTGACTTCTGTTACAGCACATACATCTTCTTTCTCTGATCCCACATCTTCCCTCTTACAAGGACCCATGTGATTGCACCGGGACCACACAGGTAATCTGGGTAAATCTCCTTATTTTCCAATCCTTAATTTAATCTCATCTCTAAATTTCCTTTTACCAGGTATGTTAATATCTTTATAATCTCTAAGATTCAAGACAAGGACATGTTGAGGGTGGGACATTTAACATAGAATACATACAAAATGGATGTTTGTTTAGTGAATTTATTTAAACCATTCATTCTAGGTGCTCTTACAGTTTAAGACTTAAAATGAACGAGACATTCTGCTCTAATATTCTAATTTTCTCCTTTCTAACACTTGAGTCCCCTACTAATCATCTGTTAGTTACATTTGTGGCAGGTACTAAAATGCCCTGAGACAGTTGTGAAACACAGGAATACGTGATTTCAGTTGCCACCTCAATCTCTTCTTGTTAAACCTTGAAAATGTAATATTTGAAAGAGAACAGCTATGTAACAATTCCACTTGTAAAATATTCTTCTAATTTAGGGACACAGAATTTTACAAGGCTCTAAATGTCCCACAATCAAGCTTCAAAATGGGTAGTCAAACACACAAAAAAAGGTTCCTTGGAAAGGATAGTAACAGGGATTTTCTACTCTGTGTACTCATTGGGAAAATGTTTAAAAAGGTAAAAAAAAAAAATGATGGCTTAAGTTAAAACAGTTCCAGTCACTTCAACAGATCACTGCACAAGAATGAACAACTTATTGAAATTCTGCCTTCTGGAGCACCTCTGGTGCCCTCTTGTTCAGGGAAAAGTCTGAAATATGACTTTACAAAACCTGGGGCCAAACACAAAAAGCTCAGTGCTGTGGGCAGGTGATCATCACATGAGCTTGGCATGAGTGATTTTCCCATGTTGTTCAGACCACCCCAGTGTCTCCACCTCTCTGCTCCAGTTTTTCTGCTTCCCTGAGCTGCATTGCTGACTTGCACTGTGTCCCTATGAACTTCTGTACATCTTAGGTAGTCTCTAACAGGCTTTATTGCTTGATTTATTAGTATAGGTCCATCATTCTTTATCTAAAATTCTTTTGGGAAAATGTTTCAGAATTTGGGGGTTTTAGAAAGGAAATATATACCATGTATCATACATTAACACCTTTAGTGGGTCTGAATCAGTATTCTTTACTTTTTTCTATAGCAAAATATATAAGTATTCTCATCAAATAGAATAAACAAGTATTGTGTAAATTTTTCACACCAGTTCAGGTCAGCTTATACTTCCAATTCAGTTGTAGAAAAATTCCTTAGTCAGAGCCTTGTGAATGTTAGAATTTCAGATAAGGAATCTATATTACAAGTTAGTGAGAATGACGATGATGACAACAACAATGATGATGATTATTACTTTGCTGTTTACCACCAAAAAAGCTCAGTGAAAACTCCAAACTCCTAGGTTAATGGCAAAAATTGTAGTAGCATGGAGCCTTCACTTCATTTTACCAACAGGGAAATTATACCACAGAAAGTCCAAGTGGTTTAATGAGGATAGCAATGAGCTCTAAACTAAATATTAGGTTTTTTACATCACACTGATCTAAATTGAACTCAGCCCTAAATAAATTTGTTATCATGGAAATTTATATTCAATCTTATGCCCATTTTACCATGAGTCCCTCTGTTTAGGGAGGTCCCTGATTCATAGGGTTGTTAATTGGCATTTAATTTTGTGTTTGTGTGTGGTACTGGGGCTTGAACACAGAGCCTGCACCTTGAACCACTCCACCAGCCCCTTTTTTGTGATGGGTTTTTTGAGATAAGGTTTTACAAACCATTTGCCCTGGCTGGCTTCGAATAGCCATCCTCCTGATCTCTGCTTCCTGAGTAGGTATGATTACAGGCATGAGCCACTGGTGTCTGACTAATGAGACATTAAATTTGCAAAAGAAAGTGTAATGTTTGACACAGTGAGCTGCACATACTATATGCTCCACAAAAACCAATTGTTACAATCCTTAGAATGTTTTTTTATGATTGTTATTGACCTAATTAAATTAAGAAGCCATTTATGAAATCCCTCCCTCTGGAAGGCACTGGACTAGAATACAGGGGTGAGTAAGGCAGAATGATCTTCCATTATAGTGAGTAACTCAAGAGAGTGGCTCAAGGAATTCTCTTATATCTAAGTTGTGACTATTTACTACAGTCCTTTATGCATAGGGGACACTCAGTACACTTTGATTGAATGGAATAAATTCAAGAAACTCAAATAACCTTACAGAGAATTTAAAATCAATGAAAGGTATGAGAAATACTCTAAGAACTTTATAAAGTACTTTGAGAATTACATACATACATACATGTGTGTGTGTGTGTGTGTGTGTGTGTGTGTGTGTTTGTGTGTATGTTTTCTCCTGGCTTGAAATAAATAGAGGAAGTCTTTAAGGAAGATGAAGCATTATGCTAGAGCTGACCAGGAGGCTAGACCATCAACAGGTGCAGTTGGGGGTTAAGGAAAGGCCATGCCAAGCATGAGAGTGTCAGCATATTCCTACAAAAGATGAAAAGTGCATAGTATATTTAATAAGTAGTGGGTTATGTGCTTGAGAGATGCCATAGAGGAATCACATGGGTCATACTCAGGGGAAATTGCAGCCTGCAAAGTTTCAGAGGTGAGTTAAGACTAAGTCCAATAGAATCTGGAATGATATAGGAAGGAATGCAGGCTGTATACTGCCAGTTCAGATGACTAAATATTTTATGTCACTTTGTTTTCAGCAGGAGATATCCCAAGTTAATATAACTTGGGGCAAGCTTTAGGAAAATTGCTGTGGTGCTATTTTATAGAAAGGATTGAAGGGCAAAAAGAGGGAAAGTAGACTTCTCTCAGAAAAAGCCCTAAGAGAGAATGAGAAACATCTAAGCCTGTGCAGGGACAGAGAGGATGGTGCAGAGGGAAGAAGATACAAAGGCTTAAGGAGAATGGACCATATTTGGCAACCAATAAGATGTAGGAAGCAAAGAAATGAGAGGATTCAAAGACAATTTTTAGTTTTTAGACTTGGCATTTGGTAGTATCAAAGAGAAGGGACAGATGTTGGATAAGAAAGATAAAAAATTATGAGTTCATTTTTAAACTGAACAACAAATTACCTCCTGTTCAAAGTCGAAAATAGAACTACTTGCTAGCAGAGGGGCTCAAGTGGTAGAGGACCTGCCTAGCAAGCAAGAGGCCCTGAGTTCAAACTCTAGTACCACCAAAAAATAAAACTACCTAGTGATGTCCACAAAGCATTCAACTAACAGCTGTGAGGTTAACAATTTTAGAATCAAGCAAGAGACCTGCTTATGTTGCATTGCCCCTGTTTAAAGAAGGCTACCTACACCAAAGACAATGCTTCATGTAAGCCCATAAGTTGTGGTTTCTCCTCACAGTGAGAAGACTCTCCCATTACAGGAAATGAGCATTGTAAGTGCACAAGCCCACCGGGTAGCTGTCACCATGAGCAGTCCTGTGTAGGGACTTGCCATCAGTGAAAGCTTTGGGGTGTGGGAACGGGTGAGGCCAGCAAGGACCCTCAATTTTAGCTTCACATCATACAAATGCTCATCCTGCTTTTAGGAGACTCTTCTTAAAATTTACACTCCAGATACCTCACTTGCCTCTCCATGTCCTGGCCCTCTGACTAATATAAATTCTTTTCCAGGACAAAGTAATAACATAGGATCTTTCCTAAGAAGCCATATGTTGTACTGCAGGGTTGGCAAACTTTTCCTGCAAAGGACCAGAGAGTAAATATTTTAGGTGTTTCAGGCCATATGGTCTCTGCCTCAACTACTCATTCTGCCATTATAGTAGGAAAGCAACCATAGGTGATGTGTAATGAATGATCATGGCTGTGCTCTAATAAAACTTTATTTAGAAAACAGGTGGCAGGTTATATTTGGCCCTCAGGTCATAGTTTTCCAACCCTGCTATATAGAAGGGGACAGCCAGACCTTAGATTTAAATTCCAGAACTGCCATATACCAAATATGTGGACTTGGATATGCCCCTGTATAAAAGATGATGATTATACCTTTTTTATTGATTATGAGGATTAGAAAGAATGTGTATAAAAATACCTAATAAATAACAGGTATTCGATAGAGCAGTAAATAGTTCTTTTAACTACAAGGCATAATAAGAATAATAGCTAACACATATTGAATGTTGATGATATGTTGTGTACCATGTTAAGCACTACACAAAACTATTTCATTTAATTTTCCAACAACTCTCTGCATTGTGAACCTTTATAGTAGTACATTCTACTCATTGAAAAATTGAGGCACTGAGAGATACCCAAGAGATACTTATGCACATAGTTAGTGAGGTAGCTGGTGCTTCATCTCTAGTAAGTGGACTCCAGGGTGTTGGTGTTAATCCTCTGCTAGTTAATTAACTCCACTAATTCAGCTCAGTTGAAATGCTCAAGACCATCTCAAGTTCTTCAGGGCTTTTCACAACTCTTCTCATAATGACATAGCTGAGAATGCAGTTACACAACTTTTGGACATTTATCTTCAGGTTCATACTCAGGTAACATCTTACATAAATAAAACCCTATTCCAACTTTCCTCCCATCCACATACTCCCTTGTCCCCCAAGGAAGATCTCAACACTCAAGGAAAACCAAAATATTATTGAGAAAGCTAAAGTAAACCCTTTTCCTCCATTTCAAAATGTTATCCTATAATCACTCTGAAAACTTGAAATTTCAAAGCCTGCCTGCAGAATAGCACACTGGATTAATTATGCCAGACTGCAGCAATAACCTTGAATTAAAGTTGCAACCTTCTATTTTTAAGAAACACTTGCCTTTCTGGTTGATGAAACCTGTCGTCCCATCAGGTAACAGACGTGACCAGGAAAGAGAGAAGCGGTAATGAGTCAATCCAAGCTGTTTGATACATTTCAAATCTTCCTCCCACAGAGTGTAGCTGCCACAAGCTACATCACCAGTCTGGTTCTTGAAAACTCTGTCTCCTCCCTGATGGGTGAATGTGTCCCAGACACAAGGGCCTCTTCCATCTGCATCCCAACCTCCTGAGAAAAGGAAGAAAATGAAATGGTTACATTCTTGACATCAAGTGGCATATGTGGAAAGTAAATATTTATCACCAAAAGAACATACCTCATTAACTGAATGTACCATATTTATAACTTTAAAATGTGCCTTTAAAATAACATGCATGAGCAGGTTATGTGCTTAGTTGTCCTTGATCCCTGAAGCTGACCAGTGGCAAACGAAAAATTACTGCGCTGTGCTGCAGCATAGCAGGCTTTCATGGTTCATTATCTGAAGATCTCTCAGCTGGTAAACAGAGGCAGGCCCCAGATTATGAATGTGTGAATTGGAAACATTACCTGCTTGCAAACCTTCCTCCTGATCATGACTGTCAAGCCTTATCTTTGCAGATCAGGAAGTCTTGGGACCTTAGCTCTGGGTTTCCTTTTTATCTGACAGTAAAGCTTGTAACAGCCCTATCTATTATTTGTGGAAAGGCACTAACTTCCATTGTTGATGATGATATTGGTATCTGAAATGTATTCAAGCACCCTCTGTTAATTCAACAAAGGTTTTCATCAAGTGTTCTGCCTAGTACAGGAGACACCAGGGTGACCTGTGCTGTGCCTCATGTCCTGGGGAACTTACCTGATAGGCCATTTTAAAACAGCCAATGGAATGGTCTTTACAGAAACCAAGAAGGGTGTTTATCTTATCATGAGTCAGAGACAGAGGAAGTTTCTTTCTGTTCATGTTTCTATAAACCTAAAACCTAAAATATAAAGTCTATTAATTAAGAAAAAAACCTTACATAGTATTTTTATCATATTTTAAAATATGTATATTTAAAAATACGTAGGCTGGGCATAGTGGTTCCTGCCTGAATCTCAGCTACTTAGGAGGTGTAGATAGGAGGGTCTCAGACAAAGAACAAGACCCTCAGATCTATCAGAAAAATAACTACAGCAAATTTTAAAAAGGGCTGAGATCATGACTCAAGTGGTAAAACACCTGCTCTAGAAAGCAAGAGGCCCTGACTTCAAATCCCAGAACTGCCAAAAAAAATTTAAAAAGAGACAGAGGGAGAATATTTAAAATAATCCATGTATTTTCTGAACATATGCATATGAAGTCAAAATATAGCAACATGTCTGAAAATGATAAATTCAGACTAGTGGTGAACTTTGGGAATGAAGGGGAGAATGAAACCAAGGAAGATCATAAGAGATTTCGATTGCATTTCCTGTTCTTTGTTCCTTAAGCTTGGTAGAAAGACATCATCCGCGATCCCTATTTATACGTCTAAAATACTTCATCATAATTGCTATCTAAGAAAAGTGTTTTCAGGTAGAGTAAAGTAGTCAAGAAGATCTTTCAGGTCCTCACTGAGTTCTAACAGGATTGGTTATCCTCTCCAGACCAACAAAAGGATAGCATGGTGACAAGTTAAAGGAGATAGGAGAGGCTGCTAAAAGAAGGAGCCCTTGGCCAAATTAAAATGACTATCAATATCAAGGTAGGATACTAAATATCGGTAACAAAAAAGTCATGACTATTAAAAAGAATTGTGTTTTAGAGCCTTGTAATTATAGAGGTGAATAATCTTATACAAGTCTGTGGTTCTCTAGTTGTGTGTATACATGGGGCTTAAGGATGGGAGTAAAAAAAATCAAGTATTCAATTTCAGAATTAAATAAATGCAAACATGAAAATAATTTTTTCCAGAGTGGTGCTTATAGTTTTTAATAATTGATTTAATAAATAAAGAAGCTGAATCTCAGAGAGTTTAAGTAGTGTACTTTTAAATATTTCACTACTGACTATATGTAGAAACATGCATAGACACATATGGGTGTGACAATTTTACTGATGGTATACCTAAGACATAATTTATAACTGATGATAAAGTACCCAATGGTTCTTAATTTAAATTTCATACAGCCAACTGATTTTCAAAAGATGCTTGTAATTTTTGCCAGATTCCTGTTGGTAGCCAACCTATGATTGCATCTGACAAATGGGTATAGTTCTCACGTGACTGTTGATTTACATTTTTCCTTAAAAAGACAAAAATTAGAGGAAAATAACAAAAATATTCCAGAATTTCACTTGTTCACCAGTGACATGAGCTACTCCTTTATTAAATCAGATGACAGTTTTCAAACACCACAAGAATATTTCCTCAATTTTGCTGCCACTCATAATATAAAAAGCCACAGATAGGAAATACTTTCGAGCTTCATCTGCACTAATAACATCTTCTCTGTTACTTTCTTAGGTCAGGACGACAAACAAAATGGTAAAACAAATTCTGACTTGTAGCACTTGCCGAGTCTGTGGTGTAAATATTCCCACTCTGGTCAGTTTTAAGCAATCAATGTTAAGATCACAGAAAGCAAAACCAGGAAAAGACGAGCAGAGGCATTCTGCTTTGTACCGTACTTTATACACTGTATACACCTCCAAACACAAGACATCTAAATAACCACAAGGTCATAGACTTAAGTAAAATAATTTAAAAATCATGATTTTTTTGAGTATTTATCACTTATTTTTAATATAAATTACACATTTATGAGCTTGTATAATTTAATTTTGATAATGGCTGCATTTATGAAGCAGCTTACAAAACTGCCAAAAACTTAATAGGTTCTCATGAACCAGCACGAACTGCTTCGTCACATCACTGAGAAGTCACTTGCTTGAGACCACAGTTAGCAACAGAGCCAGGATTTGTATCCAGATCTTGGAAGTTCAACCCTTCTACTGCTCTTAGCGATAATGATGCAGAGTGATGAAGAAAGCAACAACCAAATCCCATGCTTCTCAATGCATGAAGCCTAAGAAGAGCAAAATACAACTTACATATTCTGGAAAGCAGTCCACATAACATGACTAAAAAAAGTTTTGACAATTTCAAGAGGTAGATGACACTTAGCAGGAAGATGTACTTATTCCCCACAGATATTAGCTACACAAACCACACTGAGCAGCATAGAATCCAAGCGTTGACTTGAAAGTTAATAATTATAATTGAAATTTTGATAAGATCATAGAGTAGCCAGTATTCACTAGTAGTTTAGCATAAATTTTGCTGAATGAGTACTATTAATAGCTTATTATTTGGGGGGAATTTTTTACAATTGTAGTTATGCCCACACTCTAAGACACCTTTACGATGAACAAGACTACTTGCAAGTGAACTGGATATACGGAGCCATGTGCAAAACAGCTATAATTCCTAGATGAAATAAGAAAATATAGTTTTAAATGCATTATTAATCTGGCAGGAAGTTAGGTAACCCATAAAACAAAGTGAGAAAGGAAATCTGGAGGCATGAGTGCTCAGTTAAACAGACTTTTATCCTGAGGATTTAATAGAGAAGTTTTAACATATGTAGATATAAATTGTATGTCAACACAAGCATAAAGACCAGGAAAGGGGAAACAGAAATATACTATTGTTAAGAGTCTATGATTATATATGAAGTGGAATTATGTAGTTTGATAGTAAGAGGCTAAAAAATCTATACTATAAGTCCCTAAAAGAAACACTACTTTTAAAAAAAGAAGAACAAAGAATTATAGATAATAAGACAGCAAAAATATGTAATAGAAGCAGGGTGCTGGTGGCTCACACCTGTAATCCTAGCTACTCGGGAGGCAGAGATCAGGAGGATCATAGTTTGAAGCCAGCCCGGGGAAATAGTTCATGAGACCCTATCTCAAAAAACCCTTCACAAAAAAAGGTTGGTAGAGTGGCTCAAGGTGTAGGCCCTGAGTTCAAGCCCCAGCACTGCAATAATATATTATATATATATAAAGTGAAAAGTCAGAAAAGAAGGAAAATAATATAAGAAAGATGGGACAAGTTAAAAGCGAATAGTAAGATGTTAGGTTTAAACCTAACCATGTTGATAGTAAGAAATGTAAATGGCAATTCAAAGTCAGGAGTTATCAGATTGAATAAAAATGTGATTCTCCATCATATATTACCCAAAGAAATTCAGTTTAAATCAAAAGACACGAGAAGAGTAAAAGTGACAAGATGGAAGATATACATACCATGCTATCCCCAGTCAGAAAACTGGAATAGCTATAGTAATATCAATGCAGATTTCAAGGCAAGAGTATCACCAGGTACAAGGAAAGCCATTTCATAATATTAAAGCACCAATTTATCAAGAGAAAATAACAGTGATAAATATTTATGTACCTTATAACAAAACTTCAAAAATACTTGAAGTAAAAACTGATAGAACTGTGAGCAATTGACAAATTTGTAATCATATTTGGATATTTCAATTAAAAGTAAAAGTGCAAAAATTTGAACAGTTCCTTCCCAGAAGGGAAAACAGGTGTTTAGTAAACATTTTTTAAATACAAGAGATCATTAAAAATCTGAGTAATACAAATGAAAACCAAAATAAGATACCATTCTACGCCCACATAGTTGGCACAAATTTAAAAATTGGGCAATACTAAACACTGGAGAGATTGCTGCTCAGCAGCAAGGTACAGAGCTGATGGGAGAGAAAAATGGAAATACTGAGTAAAATGAGAGGAACACAGAGTGTAGAACTGCCCAGTTAGCCACATACCACTGTATACACTACAAATGGGGACCAGAAACACACAGAGGCATCAATGCAACCTCAAAAAATAAATAAATAAAAAGAAGAAGAAGGATAGGAACATCACAGGAAGCAACCCAAATTTCCTTTGTCCAAACTATAAATAAACTATGAATTCACGCACAGTGAAAACTGTAGAGAAGAATGAATGAGCTGAGTCTGTATAGGTCAACTGGCATAAAGTTCTCAAATACCATGTTAAAAAGAAAAAGCAATCTGTACAATATACACATGACATATTTCCATGTTTAATGTTAAAACATGTAAATTTACATAATAAATTATTTAACAGTACATTCTCACGTGGCAAAACAATAAAGAAAAGCAAGTAGTTGGTAAACGTAAAATTTACTTGGGTAGATACAGAGGGAGACCACATTGGAGTGTAAAGTAGATAGATAAAG